ATTTTATTGTCTTCACAATAAAAAATATGAAAAGTTAAGACTGGATCACGTGGCCCTTTCTTTTCTTATCTCCTCCCTGTTCCAAATGCTTGCATCTCTTAATAGCCAGCATTCTCTTAGATCTGCAGTTGGGCTCAACACACTCAAGCCTCAGGACAATCTTCTTTGTAGTTTTGACCTTCTTCTGGAGAATCGGTTTAGTCTGTCCACCATGGCCACTCTGTTTCCTGTCACAATGCTGCTTTCCCTGGGCATATAGGGAATCCTTGCCTTTTTTATACTGTGTTACTTTGTAGGGTTGATGCTTGCCACACTTCTTACAGAAAGTTTGCCGGGTTTTGGGAACATTCACCATGCTTGCAGGTGCCTACCAGCAAGGAAAGAAAGACCCAGATTTTGTTTTTTAAAATAATTTAAAAGATTATTAGATGCTGGCATAAAAAAATGTAGTAGACCTTTGAGTTATGGTGGCCTGACAAACAACTTGGGTTATGACCAGAATTTTAGTTTTAATTTATGATCAAAGTCTTGAGTTATTTCCCCAGTGCTGACCACATGTGCTTCCACATCATCTCAGATAAAGATGTAAGCCTTAAAGAGTTCTGGAAGGTACACTACAATATCCTTTCCTGTATGGGGTTGAGAAACCCAGAGCTAATGTCTAAGGACACTAAGGTCTGCCTGTATACAGGAAAGAGGCTTTGAAGCTATGCAGAGGAGCCTGAACCTTCAATTGACAACTTGAGTTACATTCAGCCCTTGGAAACAAATTGAGTTCATAACTCAATAGTCTGCTGCGCATTGTACTAGGTAAGACTGGATGCCTTTCCCATACTAATGAAATTGATCTTTTGGATATGGTATTTATTATAGGAGTACAAAGTAGGCAAATAATACCTACCTAGAGTCTTCCTTGTTTTTAGTTCCTCCAGAAGGTTTATCTAGGAGCTTATATATTTATTTATCTATTTATTTATTGAAACAAAGTCTTGCTATGTAGTCACAGCTGGGGTACAAGTGAGAAAGATCACCTCAATTTCTATCCTGGCCTTGGTCTATGAGGTGAACAGCTGAAACCTATTTGATGATGAGATACTTTCAATTCTTGGCCTCCATCCTGTGTGGCAGGGATAGATAAGATGTTTTCCTCAGTTATGTCAATAACCTACAGAATTTTTGGAACTTTAATTTCTGGTTGCATGTTCAAGATGGTCCCATTTTTAGCTTTTTCTGTTAAGCTAGAAATGAAGATTATCAAATGTTCTTTTTTTTTTTTTTTTTTTTTTTTTGAACTGGGGATTGAACTCAGACCCTTGTGCTTGCCAGGGAAGCGCTTATTCCACTGAGCCATCTCCTCGGCCCCTGTCAAATGTTCTTGACCAACTTTTTCTTGCTTGTTTTTTCTGGTCCTTAGAAAAATAAGAGTGCTGACACTTGCCCTAGATGCCAAAAATTTTGATCAAATACAAATTCCCACAATAAAAGGATTAGATGCTGCTTCCTATAGCCTCTTAACCATTATTTCAAGAAACTGTAGTAGTTTTTAACTTACTTATATCAGTAACAGTATATGTTATGGTGATTGTTGCATTTATGATTGTACACATCTCTCTTATATGTTAGTCCTCACAGTTATAGCTCATTAAAGTTTATTCATCATAATCTTAACATCTAGGGTGTTTATGAATTCTGTTACTAGCCAGGCATAGTGGCACATGCCTTCCAGTACTCGAGAGGCCAATGCAGGAGAACTGCTATGAGTTCAAGGCCAGCCTGGACTACATAGCCAAATCCCATCCCATGAAAACAACAACAAATTCTGTTACTGTGTTAAATTAAATAATACAAAAGTGAGATATTTTGAAGACTTCTGAACTTGTTCCTTACCCTACCAGCTCAGTATAACAGTACTGCTCACAATAATAGTACTTCTACAGTAACAGTATCCACCTGCTAGATTTGTCCACTACTGTATATCCAGCACTAGAACAGAACCAACTACATAGTAAATATGTACAGAACAGCAGAATAGCTTCAGTTTTGACTTGTATTGGCTCCTGCCAGTATTATAGACAGCTAAGTTAGATAACAATTAATATACATCCAGAGAGGGACTGGGCTTTCAAGGAAGTCTGAGAGGCGGAGACATCAGAATTGTAGCTGGAGGCATTTTGCAAAAGGCAAGGCCTCAAGATTAAAAATCACAATGGACAGATTTACATCCTTAAGTATGGAAATTTGAGATTATATTGTAACTATTTGTCTTGGTTATTTTTTATTTGTTGCTGGGACAAAATATTGACACTTAAAATTAAGGAAGGAAAGGCTTATTTAGCTCACAGTATAGTGGAGGTTTCAGTTCATACTCTGCTGGCTCCAAGGCAGATGGCAGCAGTTCATGGTGGCAGAAAACAATGAAGAGCAGAGGATGCTGTGCAGGTTCCGCCCTTGGGTCGCGCTGAAGTGTCAATTGAGACTGGGCATGGTGGCATGTGTCTGTAATCCCAGCTCTTGGGAGGCTGTAAACGGGAGGATCACTATAAGTCTGACCTAGTAGTGAGACCCTGAACACCCTGTAGACCCTTCCCTAAAATACAAAAGAAAAAAAAAAAAAAAAGAGCAGAGGAGAAGCAGCAGCTGTGGTGTCTATCAAACCTGGAGCTCCTCCAAGGAAGGGGCAATGGCTACTGTGAAGATCCAAGCTCCTACAAAGGGGCAAGGCTGCATCAATCAAGCTCCTCCAAGGAAGTGTGGTGAGTGGAAGTCTTCCTCAACCCTTTTATATACCATTTTTGTGTTGAGTCACTCAGGTAGGCCCACTCCACTCTAGAGTGGGGCCCCCACACCACAGGGCGTGGAATCGCCAAGCTGATCTAGCCAAGCTTTTGACATCTCAAGTTGACACAATGTATCAACCACCACACTGTTACTACTAGTCCATTAAATCCAGATATCAGACAACTGGATGGATGACTGGAAGACTTGGGCCCATCCCTTCCTCAAGTTTTCTTGTTTTAGAAGTCATAGATAAGCCAAGGCTAATGATGTCAGCCATATGCTTCTGCTATGTGGCCTGTTTCCCTACTGGATCAATATTAGCTAAGTGGCTATACTTGTAATCTTTTTTTATTATAATGTGACCCACATTGTGCTCATCTTATGATTTTGCCCTATGCAACATTCTCAGAGGGCCAGGGAGATAGCTCAGCAGTCCAAGCGCCTGCCTAACAAGCTCAAGGATCTGGTTTTGATCCCTGGTATCGCATGACATGCCAGCCTGTGCCATGCCAGCCACTGAAACCAGGTATGGTGGTGCATACCCTTAATCCCAGAGCTGGGGAGACTGAGATAAGGAGGATCACTATGAGTCTGAGCTGCAGAGCAAAACACTGTACCAAATAAATAAATTCTCAGAGAAATGACCTCAACAAGCCATGTGGCACTCCTCCTATCTCTCAGAAACTATTCTTTTTTTTTTTTTTTGACACAGTCTCTCTCTGTAGTTCATGCTGACCTTGAACTCTTGTGGCAACCATCCTGCTTCGTCCTCCCAAGTGCTGGGATGACAGGAATGCACCACCACACCTGGCTTTTTCAGGAGCTAGTCTTATTCTCCAGTAAACCTCTCCTACTCCTAACTTCCTTTGTCCTTTGGAATTCGTTCTTTGATATTAGTGGACACAAACTTGGCACATCTGACAGCTAGTGAGTTGGGAATTACATTTCTCCTATATCACCAGGCCCCCACCCACAGGGTAGGCTCTGTGACCAGCACCACCAATACATCAATTTCATTAGGCCCAACCTACCATGTTTACATGCTGAGTAGAAAGTCAACCCAGAAGGAGAGTATCGGGCATTTTAAAAATAGGGTACATGATGTAGTACTTTGTACAACTGTCTTCTCAGATTGATCTGCAGAGAATGCATGAGTTAGTAGGGGACCATGGCACTGCACACACATTAATGCTTTGGCAGACAAATGTTCCAAAAACTTTTCAACAGTAAGTATGAAAAGTTAGCGACCACACAAAATCACCTCAGGGAATCCCAAGAGAAACATACACAACAGGAGCTCTGGAGGCTGGTTTGATGGAGAAAGTAACATTACACTGATGTTTTAAACCAGATATTGAAGGCTAGAATGTACCATCATACTGACAAATTCACAGGAATTTTCCCAGATACATTTTGAAAAATTATTCCCAGATAGTCAAACCTTTAAAGCAAAGCATAAGGTTTCAGAGTGGTGACATACAAAGTCTTCTAAGAAAGAATGAGTAGCAGGCTTGTAGAACTTCCCTGGAAAGAAGATGTGTATATACTCAAATATATAATGTACCACTTTGTAATTGGAGTTTATAATCACCTTGGCTTGGTCTTAAATACAAGAAATGCATCATATAGATCTTTGTGTTTCCTGTGGTTTTCAATGACCATTAAACGTTAATTACTCAGTACATTTTAGCTCTTGTCCTTAGTCTTATGTTCTTTTCTAAGCAATAAAAGCTAATGCTTAATATTTCTGATTTCTAACACAACCTGAAATATAATTTTTTTTTTTTGTCTCCCAATTGACAAAACCTGGTTAGTTTTGCCAGGTCTGCAGCTGTACTTGAATCAGTACTCTCTTGTTGAGCGTGAGATTTACATGCGTGTGTTGGAGGAGCTAGCTGACAGAAAACTTCTACTCACAGAATACTTGTTAAAACAAATACGAGCTTGGTGTTTGGTACCCTTCACTGCTGGCTTCTGCTTTTCTTTCGGGTTCGTTTTCCTTTCCCAAAAGGGCCAGTATAGGACCGAGTCCTCATTGGCCGGATTTCCCGCAGGTGCCGCTTGTAGTCCCACCCACCTGCTCCCTGCCTCTAATCCTAAACTCTTGGGAGAATAATTGACAGGCTGGCTAGAGTGGGAGTGGCACGGACGTGACGTTTCCGGAAGCTCCGGGCGTCAACCGCGAGGAAAGGTGGGGAAAGGGGTCCCGGGAATGTGGTGGGACAGGGACTCTGAGCGTGGCCGGGCTCGGAGGGAACCCGCCACGGAGTGTGGGGTCTGCAGCCCTGTCGTCTCCCGCGTCCCCTGCCTGGCCTGCCGCCCCCGGCCCCCTGACAGCTGGGTTTCCGCAGGCTGGTGCCTACCCGGCGCGGCCCGGCGCTTCCTTGCCTACTGCGTTTGAATGACCCGAAAATTTAAGATGATTTTATTCTGGATTGACAGTTTGGGTTCGAACGCCTTCAAAAAGGGCGCCTCGAGTAGTTGTCAGACGCCTGTGTACTGTATACGCCCTCTCCGCGCGTTCTGGCTACTTCCTTTCACCGCCTCCTCGAATTACCCCTTCCTGAGTCCTCCCAGCCGCCTTCCCTTGTTTGTGAATGCGACGTTCCCTCCGCAGAGTTCTGCTCATCTGAGTGTTGTCTCCACAGCGAAGTTGCTGGCCCGGGAAAGGGTTCCTGTTTCGATCCACATAGGCTTCTGTCAAGGGGTGCAGGGATGCCCAGAGCATCCCTTTTCAGTTAGCTCTGATGGACTGTGCTGGGTTTACCAGTTAAGAAACTTGGGGAGGTTTTAGATCTGAAAGAGGCTTAGTGAGAGAGTGTCTGTGCTTCCCAGGAGTCCCCACGGTTTTTGTATTGTTAATGAGGGTTCAGAGGGGGGAGTTGTGTGGATGAAATGTAACCTGAATATTGAAGAAACCAAAAGATAGAATTGGCCTGGGGGAAAGGTTGGGTAGGGAAACATTTGAATGCATTTGAGGAAAAATAAGGTTTATGGATGGAAAAGACGGGACAGGTGACTTGAGGCCACAACTTTCAAAATGAATTCTAATGCTTATATATTCTAGAATGTGGTGATTATGGTGTACTATCATCCAATGCATATCAAATGCCCAGGCACTTTTTGGAGATTATAGATAATGATGGAGTCTGATTGGAACTTGGGAACCGATTCTAACAGCAAAAATATTTATAAAGATTGTGGAATTGCTGGGGCTTGGGGCCCAGGAAGGAAAAACTCCCAGATTAGAATTGTGTCCCAGTGCCCTTCTTTCAATGCAGGATAACTTTGTGCCCCTTTGTTTTACAGAGTGCTTGGTTTTTGAAGATGAATAAATTGTCCTTTTCAAGATCTAAGTAGTTTACAGATTAAAGCGCCTGCAAGCAGGAACAGGGGCCTGGGTTCAATCCCTGGGCCTGCCATGCTGGCCCCAATTGAGACTGGGCATGGTGGCACGCACCTGTAATCCCAGCTCTTGGGAGGCTATAAACAGGCGGATCACTACGAGTCTGATCTAGTAGTGACACCCTGAACACCCTGTAGACCCTTCCCTAAAAATACAAAAAAAAAAAAATCTAAATATCTTGCCAGATATGTTGAGCTGTGGGGGACTCAGGTCAACAATTTCTGACATTGCGAGTTAAACAGAAGACCCAATGCTATTATGGGCTACTGGACTCTTTTAGAATATTTTGCTGAGTTTACACACCTATAATATTCAAATAATGGAACTTAACAAAAAAAGGGTATAAAGATGAATGTCCATTTTGTATCTGTGTATTCAAAGTGGTTAGGATAGATATATAGTTACATTCTCTTAATGAATAGAATGATTTGTTCTAATAGTGTTTGTAAATAGGATCTCAAGTCCGCATCTTGTACAGCAATTAACCACTAAGAGGAATGTATGCAGTGTGTTAATTATTGAAACTGTCCTAGCAATTTGATTTGAAACTGTCTCATTGCTATTTGTTTATTAATAAAATTATGAAAAATAAATATCTTGCCAGAATAATAATCAATGATGTTTCAGGCTGATTGGTATAGAGCAGAATTAGGATTGTGAATAGGCCACTCAATTATGAAAAAGAACACCACAGAAAATGTTAGTTCCTTTTAGGTTAACAGAATTAGCAAATTGAAGTCACTGAGCAATCCTCATGAAAGTTGACCGCACTCTCTCAAGTAGTGGGGTAAATGGAAGTAGGTAGCTGAGAGAAGAAGTAAAGGGGAAAGTATAAGGTACTGTCTGCACTTATGCTGCTCTAGGCAGGGACACCTAAGGCCAGGGATATCTCACTTGAGGGGTAGCATTGAATCCCCGCATGACCTGATATGGTTATAGTCCTTATACTTCTTAATTATGGTGCAAGGATTGTGCATTTTGAGTCTCCCAACCTCTCAGCATCGTAATTAGGTTTCCTTAGGAGTCACCACCATCTTATAGAAGAAACACCTTATTTGATCTGAGCTACAGATGTGCTATTTTTTTTCTCTCTCTAATTTCTTAAGGTGGAGATATACTCTGTGCTAAACTGTGCTGGGATGATGTGGGTCATCTGTGGGTTTTATGTCATCTGTTTTCTGTCTCAGAACTTCTTGGTCCTGATGTCTGACCATGGAGATGTGAGCCTCCCACCCGAAGACCGGGTGAGGGCTCTCTCGCAGCTGGGCAGTGCAGTGGAGGTGAATGAAGACATTCCACCCCGTCGCTACTTCCGCTCTGGAGTTGAGATGATTAGAATGGCATCCATTTACTCTGAAGAAGGCAACATTGAACATGCCTTCATCCTCTATAACAAGTATATCACGTAAGACACCTACGATTTCCTTTTTCTTTTCTGGTGACTGATGCCTTTCTCATTCAGCTCTTGCACACACTTACGAAGCTCATAATTGCTAAAACTAGAGAACTTTATAACACCCTCGGTATTAATCATTTATTCTGGCAGCTCTTACATATTGACTGTCCTTGCCATTCGAAGAGATGAATACTGAAGGTGCTGTTTTTATGAGTCAATGATTTAATGAGTAAGAGACAGCTTTCTGGCTTAGGTTCACATGGCCCAGCTGTTAGACGAAAGTTAGTAATTCAGCAAGGCATGTTATATATTGATGAATGCTTTTACCATCCTTTTCCTATTAAGGCATCAAGTCATAGGATTACTTTTGAGGTGTAGCTGAGCAAAATTCTTCTCCTCAACTTATTTTGTAGCAAATCAAGTGATATAAGAAGAAGGTTTTCCTCTTTTTAACCTTTGGTATAATTGTGCAAGTCATTAAATAATTATTGCCTCATAATAAGGCCTTTATGTTGAGTTATTTCTCATCTTAGAGTAGGCAGCGTAAGTGGAAGATTTCAGTACTATTAACAGAACAATTAAAGCACCAATAATAAAGAAGAGATATATAATTTAGGATAGGAATAAAGTTAAAGGTTTTATACCATTTCTAGTCTTGTTCTTTAGTAATGCTAGGACCTTTAGCAATAATTACATGTGTTTGTATAGCTCTTAGTAGTTTGCAGGGTAGTTCACCTACATAATCTCATTTGACCTTCACAGTTCTGTGTGCATTGAGTAGGGCACATCATCTTCCCATTCTCTGTAGGAGGATAGAAGTTCAGAATTTAATGATCATGTTTGGGATCTGCAGCGTGAGGTGATAGAATGCAGATTTTATAACTCTCAATTTAAGATGCATTCCAGAACCTAGGTCTTTTTGTTTTTCTATTTAGTAGTGTTCCATGAGTTGAGAGTACTCTTATAAAATCATACTCATGAACCACACTGACTATATGATGATATAAATATATGTAGATTTTGTGTGTGTATGTGGTACTGGGGATCAAACTTGGGACCTTGTGCTTGTCAACCAGGTGCTTATGCTACTGAACTGTATCTCTAACCCTGATGGGTATATTTTTTACAGTACTCAGAAAGTACAAGAATGTATATATACTTACAAAGTAAATCTCCCTACCTACTCTTTTGTCTTCAGTTCTACTCTTCAGTTCTCCTTATATTCTCCCAGAGAGATCCATATGCATAGCAGTTATATTCCATGACTCCACTCGAGGGATCACGTACTGCTCTAGAGCAGGAGATCCAACTTTGATAGTAAGTCAGCCCAGGTGGGGCTGTCCTATGCATCATATGATGTTTAGTATCATCCCTGGTTTCTACCCACTAGGTGCCAATAGCCTCTCCACTGTCTGTGACAACCAAAAATGTCTTAAGACGTGACTTGGTGCTCTCAGAAGTACAAGACTGAATTGATCAAGAACTTTAGAGAAAAATACGTGGAAGAGTGAACTACATGGGATTAATCATAATTTCAGAGTAGAGGAAGGGATTGCTGGTGTGTGTGTGTGTGTGTGTGTGTGTGTTAATGTATTTAGCACAGGGTCTACAAGGTCTTACTCTACAGATCGGACTCATAACGATCCTCCTGTTTTCAGCCTCCCAAGCACTGGGGTTACAGGCACGCACCAACACACCCAGTCTCATTTGCTGTCTCAGCATGCTCTGGGGGAGGGACCAGCATGGCCCTCTGGGAATCAAATTCCAGTCCCTGTGCTCTGCCTAAACAGGCACTTTAGTCTGCTGAGCTATTTGGCTGGCTCTTACAATTGTATTCTTTTTTTTCTTTTGTGGTACCAGGGTTCAAACTTAGGACCTTGTACTTGCCAGGCAAGCACTTATTCCACTGAGCTATCTCCCCAGCCCCTTTTTTTTAGTTTTTTGAAACATGGTCTATGTTGTCCAGGGTGACCTTGAACTCACTATGTAGCCCAAGTTAGGCTCAAACTTACAGTGATCTTCCTGCCTCAGCCTCCATCGTGTGAAGTTATTGGCATATGCCACCATGCTCAGCCTATTGTCTTTTTTCAGTTTAGAAGTATCACCTGTTTCCTCAGAATTCTCATAGTCATTAATGCCATCTTGCTGTCCTGTGGCCTCAATGATAATATTGTAGTTACATTTCCTTTGCTAATATGAGTGTTTCATTCTTAGCCACCAAATTTATTTTCTGAATTCCCTAAGTTTCTCTGGTTATTCTGTATAGATGGTACCTTGGTTCACAAACTCAATCTTCTTTATTATTCTGGTTGCAAACTGAACTGATCGAGAACCAAATCAAATTTCCCCATAAGATCAACATTGAACCAAACCAGTGAATTTGATTTGGTTCTTATCCAACTCAGTTTGTGACCAGAATCATGAAAAGAATCAGGTTCATGAACCAGGGTACCAGTGTATATACTTTTATGTATGCCCTTTACTCATATTTTCTCCAGTTATCTTAAATTGTTCTCAGAATGAAGCCCAGAGCATAATTTCTTTAGACAATCACTAATTAAAAAAATTCAGTAGAATCATGGCATCACTCTACCAGATATTTTCAGGAAGGTCTTGTGTGTCCTACTGCCCTATATAGAAAATGCTTTCAGTGCAAGGACCATATTCATTTAACAAATACATATTGAATGTGTCTACTTACTTGGGGCTGGGTCCTAGATACACAGTAGTAAGTAAAATGGCCCTTGCTCTTTCTAGTGTTCTTTTTTTAGAGAAGGGAGGAGACAAACAGGTAAACAAATAAACATAGTTATGAGATAAGGAAGCTGGTAAGAAGGCAGAAAGAGAGTACTGTGAAAGGATCACCCAGTTATCTAAGTAGAGTAATCAAGGCAAGGTCTGTTTGCGAAGGTGAAATCTAAGCTGAGACTTGACGGGTGCAGTTGAGTTAGCTATTCCAGGAGCATAGAGCAGAGCACTTAAGCAGAGGTAATTCTGTGCTCAGAAGCTCTTAGTAAGAAAGCCCTTAGTGTGTTGTGGGGATGGAAGGATCACTGCATTAGGAGGGTAGAAAGCAAGGAGGGAGAAAGATGCCAGATGAAGTGGGAGGGGCAAATTAGGCTGATTTCCCTCCAGGCTTTCTAAACCATGATAAGGAGGTTGCGTTTTAATCCTGAGACTATGGAAAGCCTTTGAAAAGTTGTTAAATGAGGTTATAACATAAATTTACATGTATTTTTAAAATAAGAATATTGGCTATTGTGTTACGAATGGTTGAGGCAGTGTGAAGGGAAGGCAAGAGACCGTCTAGGAAATTGTTGCAGCAGTTCAAAAGACTTATGGCCTGAAGTGTTGTGCAGAATGGGAAGAGGTGGATAGATTTGATGCATGGAGGCAGAGTCCAAAGGATTTATTGAAAGCTAGGAAAAGAAGGTGGTATCAAGGTTGGCCTCATGAGTATGCCTTAAGCAATTTGGAGTTTGGTCATCCATTTACTGAGAGTGTTATCAAAAAGGGGTAGGGAGCTGGGCATGGTGGCGCACACTTGTAATCCCAACATTTGGGAGGCTGAGGCAGGAAGATCACTGAGTTTGAGACCAGCTTGAGCTACATAGTGAACTGAAGGCCAGCCTGAACTACACAGCAAGATCCTGTCTCAAAGAAATGAGGGGAGCTTTCTGTCCAACATCTTTTTTTTTTTTAGTTTATTTTTTTTTTATTTTTTTTTTTGAGTTTTATTTTTTTTATTTTTTATTTTTTTATTTTTATTTATTTTTTTTATTTTATTTTTCAACAAATAATACACTGCATATATTCTTCTTAGTGGTTAATTGCTGTACAAGATGCGGACTTGTGATCCTATTTACAAACACCATTAGAACAAATCATTCTATTCATTAACAGAATGTAACTATATATCTATCCCAACCACTTTGAATACACAGATACAAAATGGACATTCATCGGTATACCCCATTTTTCCTAAGTTCCATTATTGAATATTATAGGTGTGTAAACTCAGCAAAATATTCTAAAAGAGTCCAGTAGCCCATAATAGCATTGGGTCTTCTGTTTAACTGGCAATGTCAGAAATGATTGACCTGAGTCCCCCACAGCTCAACTTAACAGCATGGCTTTATTTCTTATAATTTCGTCTTCATACTTTTCTGCTGGATGGTTAAGACCAAGGTAAAGCAGGACCTATGCAACAAGAGTTGTAGCTTTTTGGTCTGAGAAGGTCAGTGAAATGCCCTCAGGATTTGTCCTGAGATCCTGAACCTCAGACTGTAGAACCTTTATCAGTGCAGCCATGTGGATGAGTCACGGCCAATGCTTGGCCAATGTGCTCTCTGTGAAAGCCTGAGGGAGTGTCTTCTCCCCATGTGACTCTCCTTAGGCCCACTCTATATCATCGATCACTTTCCTCTTTGGCCCCATAATCTTCTTGATCAGAAAATTTGGGACACTACCGAGGTACATGACGTTACAGTACAAGTTCTCATATGTCCTGAGTCTTAATTGACCTTAGAAGGCTAGGGCCAAAATGTTGGCTTTCCTTGTATCCCTCCTTTTTCTCTAATTTTGGTCTGCAAACTTAGGTTGTTAACCATCCAGAAGAAAAGCTTATTGTTATTATCAAACGATTTGGGCTATCAATCTTAACCTCACTATCTCACTGCATTTCAAACATCTTAGGCATAATAAGGAACAGGTATTTTTCATCAAGTATTGATATGTTGAACTTTAAGTCCTTACAGAATATGATAAAAAAAAACATTTAAAAATTAGATTATATTTTAAAAAATAGGATAAAGAATTCTATGCTTCTCATGTTTGCACATAAGTCCAAAAATCTCACCATACACAACCTTGAAGCAGGACAGTCCCACAATATTCCTTTTCCTGTCTCTTGCTTTCCTTCACCACCGCCTTCTTCTTGAACATCGATCTACCCAAGAGACATCTTAGCAGTAAATGGCATGTCATGTCTGTCCAACATCTTGACAGGC